CAGACCATCTTGGCGATTAACCTGCCAATTATAGAGAACCGATTCCTAATGCACTTGTTTGTTGGGACGCCACGCCTCCCCACACAAACATTTTGGGAATAAAGTGAAAATCGCTCCGATAAAATCACAAAAAGAGGAACCAATGAGAGAGCGAGAAACTCTCTCTCGCTCTTTCTCTCTCTCTCTCTCTCTCACACACACACAACAGAAACCAATCACGCTCGCACGACGCACCGCTCCCTTTTTTTGACATGCGCGCGGCTGCGTGCGGAGAAAAGGCGCTACTGAAAGCAGCCTTCTAAAATTGCAAAAGAAAAGTTGAATTCAGCAAAAGATAATTAGGGTGGGCGGTTATGTGGTACCACCACCCGCAAACCCAGGAGTTTGCCTCTACAAAACCAAAAGCTCACCTAAACGATTGCAACAGAAAGCTAGAACCAACTCTGTTTGCAGCTACCAGAACCCAACAGCAAGAAAGACCTAGGCAAACTCCCGGGGGCGGGTCACCCGTGACACGTTATGGCTATGCAAAACTAGTGCCCAAAAGAGTAGATACAGTATAGTCTAAGATCTCTACACTATAAGCAAGCCCTTTTGGGACTCAGGGATCGGCGATTCAGCGCCATGCTTGCCTGCGGTTGCAAAGGGCTACAATGACAGGTTGAAGCGCGCCAATCACAGCCGAGGGCGGTACTCTTGAGCCACGATGGGGCATTGACCTTAGACAGACGCATCCATGCACCATGCAGAGTATCGCTAGAATTTCAGGCAACGGCCATGAGGTGCTACCAAAGACCACCTGCCATGACCACGCTAAACAACAGAAAGACGTGTCCTCGCACATCAAAACATCAAAATCCTCAGGCAGCCAACCAGACCATCTTGGCGATTAACCTGCCAATTATAGAGAACCGAACTTTTGCTCACGACATGCTCACGACAGATGCTCAACAAAATGATCACACCTTCTCCGACATAAAGCCTGATCCTCAAAAGGCAACAAAGCCTAAACTCCCCAACTGCCCCGACATCGCTCAGAGCAGCTGTGCCTTCCAGCTGGGATGAGTTGCCACCATCCCGCGCGTTGTCTGCCTTGATAAAGAAATAGCTATAGACCTCCGAGGCAATTTACCGGAGTCCGAAGTGCCAAAGAACATCTGAAGACCTGGAGACAGTTTTCGTGGCGTTCCGCATTCGGCTTTACATTGGGATCTAGGCTTCCGGACGGTTCGGACGCAAGCCTCGAGTAATATCCATGCCATCTCAGGTTAAGGCCTGATCGAGGGCGATTCTTATTACCTTCTGCGGCCAAGTGCACTTTCAATTCAATCACGTTTGGGCTACTGAAGTCCCCAACCGTTCGGCTGCATGTTTCAATTGTAAAGGATTTACGACCGGGATTTTGGCAAGGACGAGATAGTGAATCAAAATCTCTAGAGTTCAAATTTTGAAGATCTGGGAATCTCTGGATATCTGATCAAATTCTCCAAAATTGAAATATTGAAGATCTGGGGATCTTTGGATATCGAATCAAAATCTCTAGAATTCCATTTTTGAAGGTCTGATGATCTTTGGATCTCGATAAAAATCTCAGATTTGAAATATTGAAGGTCTGGGAATCTCTGAATATTGAATCAAAACCTCTAGAATTCAATTTTTGAAGGTCTGGGATCTGGATATTTAATCAAAACCTCTAAAATTCAATTTTTCAAGGTTTGGGAATTTCTTGATATCTGACCAAAATCTTCAGATTTCAAAGTTTGAAGATTTGATGACTTCTTCATATCTGATTAGGAATTGGAGTATTGAAGGTCTAGGAATCTCTGAATATTTGATTAAATATCGCCAGAATTCAAATTTTGAAGGATTTGGATTTGGAGTCTCTGGATATCTGATCAAAACCTCCAAAATTGAAATTTTGAAGGTCTGGGAATCTTTGGATATATAATTCAACAGGAGAAAAGCGAGGATGCTGACGGCAACTATGTTCGGCTGCGGTGTTAGATGCCAAAGCCCACAGATTCCTGAGCCAACTTGAGCCCGACTACACCTGAGCTTTAGGGTTCAGGGCTTTGTGCCTAGGGTTACTAAGGTTATTAGGGCTGCTAGGCTGCTAGGGTTGCTATGGTGAAAAGGCTTACTTGGGTTACAAGGGTTACCAGGGTTACTAGGGTTTGGGGTTTGGGGTTTGGGGTTTAGGGTTTAAGGTTTGGGTTTCCAAGTGGCCTGGATCAGCTTGTCCGCAAGCTTCTGCTTCCAGGACCTGGGCTGTGAGAGTGGGTTTTGGGGGAACTTCCGAGTCATAGAGTCTAGGATTTAGGGTTTGGGGTTTAGGGATTGGGGTTTAGGATTTAGGGTTTGGGGTTTAGGGATTAGGGTTTGGAATTTGGGGTTCTGGGTTTAGGGATGAGGGTTGCGGCATTAGGGCCGTTAGGGCTTAGGGTTTCGGGATGAAGGTTTCGGAGCGACCAAGAAATTCACTGCACATCCTCTTCTGACGGTGGCTGGGATTAGGTTAGCAAAGTGAAGTTTAGGCATATTCATGGTGCCTTGATTGAGGCTTGATTGAGGCTTGGTGCATTTTAAATATTGGCAACACATGTACGTACCCTTGTATCAAGCTTAAGAAGTTACTATACATCTGAAAAGATTTCCCATGAGCGAACTTTGCAGCAAAAAAAGAGACTGCCGCCAATACCAAGCTTGGCAGCCCAGGAACCTTGAACCCTAAACCCTAAACCCCTTCATAACGGCGCCCTCTTCGGTGGTGGTTGCGATTTTGAGGGGACCCCAAAACCCAAAAGTGCAAAAGGCTACCGCTGGGCTGCCAAGTACCCAACCCTACATCCTAAACCCTATAAACCCTCTACACCCTGAACCTAAACCCAAAACCCTAAACACTAAACCCTAAACCCCGAAACCCCTAACCCACCCCTCAACCCGCACATTAGGGGGATGGGATTGTTGTCAACAGCTGCCCAGTGGCAGCCTCCACTTGCTCGACTGGCGGTGCAGGTTGTAGCCTTCTTTTCGGTTTTAAGGGCTTGGGGTTCAGGGCTCAGGGTTTAGGGTTAAGGGTCTAGGGTGGTTTTAAGGGCTTGGTTTGGGGATTGCGTTGGGGCTTTAGTTTGCTTGGTCTTAAAGTCTTAAAGCGGGCTTTAGGGTGTTTGGAGGTGTTAGAGTGTGTGAGGCGTTGGAGTTTCAGGGTTTTAGGGCTTTAGGGCATCGAGGGTTTGGGTTTTCCAGGATTCTACCCTATAATCCAGCGGTTCCAACCTACAAAATATACTAGGTTTGGGTTGTGAGGGTGGCCTTGCTGCTGGTTCTGGGTTTTGGGGTTTGGGGGCTTAAGGGCGTTTAAATTAAAGGCCGTTGCTTAGATTGCAGCTGAGGGTTTCAAGTAGCTCCTAACCCCTTTCGTTCTGTGCTATTACGTACTCTTATTTGATTGCGATCGTGCAAGATGAGATACAGTTAGACAGTAGTATATGTTATATTATATAGTACACCATGAACTTGTATTATATTATCCTATGTTATACTATATTAAACTATATGATTACTATATTATACTATACTGTACTATATTATACTATACTACACTACTACACTACACTACACTACACTACACTACACTACACTACACTACACTACACTATACTATACTATACTATACTATACTATATATTATAGTATAGCGTCATATATATATATACACATAGCAGTAGCTTGTTAAAGTTAGTATTATGGACGTTGAAGTAGCAATACAAACCATTACAAACCAATAGAAAGGTTGCTCTATTGCTATGTACTGTTGCATGATACTATCCATGTATATATATATATATATGTATATTGTCTTGCTAATCCTATTATATATTATATTGTCTGATAGAAGCATGTATGTTCTTGGGGCTGAATCTACAGTAGCCAAGCTGCAAGTCATGATGGCGCTTGGATCCACCCCGGGGGCCACCGATGCCAGCCATGGGTGTGACGAAAGCGCGCCCTGGTTCTCGTTGTTGAAGCCTTTATCGGTCAGATTTTAGGGTAAAGGGTTTAGGGCCAAAGTTTAGGGTTGGGGGGGTGGGGTCAGGGTTTCTGGGGCTTTTCGTTCAGCCACATGCCAACGGCCAAACCCAGCTTGTGCCAGAATACTCTAACCCCTAAACCCTAAGCCCTAAACCCTGAACCCTAAACCCTAAACCCTAAACCCTAAACCCTAAACCCTTGGCAGAGGCCGAGGCCTGCGGGTGCTCCCTCTGCATAGAGCACGTCTTCGGCTTGGCAGGTGTGGCCTGGGTCCGCCAGGCGAGCGCCGGCCACCAGCTCTGCCACCAAGGAGGCGATGATGAAGCCTTACAATAGGGTTTAGGGTTTAGGGTTTAGGGTCTATCGGGTTTAGGGGGTTTAGGGGGTTTAGGGGGTTTAGGATACGCGTGAATCATGTTGAATAATTGAGGGCGCGCGCTAGGTAGCCTGCACGCATCCCCCCCCCCCCGGCATCTTCACATGTTCGATGGCATAGCTGAGGACTGAGGGCGGCGCGATGGGAACTCTGCATTTTGGCAGACAAATTGCTTTAAAACAATTGCTCACTTGAGCAGCAAGCTGCACCACAGAAAGAAGCGTTCTCAGCAAGCGAACTGGCATGAAATGTAAGGCTCTAGACGAGGGGCCCACCCAAACGATCAGGGCCCTAAACCCTAAACCCTAAATAACAAATAACCCTAAACCCTAAACCCTAAACCCTAAACCCTAAACCCTAAACCCTAAACCCTAAACCCTAAACCCTAAACGAAGCGGCAGCGGCTTGGACACTCCTTTGCTTACTTGCTTCGGGCCTCAGCTTTGGGGTTTGGGTTTGTGATGTTTTGTAACTCTCAACCCTCAACCCTAAGCCTAAACCCTAAATCCTAAACCCTAGACCCTAAACCCGAAACCCTAAATTCAAATCCTAAACCCTAAACCCTAAAGCCTACGCCCTAAACCCCGAGAGCCTCCCTCCAGGGCATCACCAGCGCTTTGAGCAACAACTCGAGCTCGGAGGCCTGTTGGAAACATCGCTTAGGGTTTTGGGGTTTAGGGTTTAGAGAGCTTGGTGGTTTTGTGGTTTTGGGGTAGATGGGGTTCATAGAGTCTAGATTTTGTGGGTTTAATGATTGTGAGGCTTAGGGCTTTAGGGGGTTTGGGGGACGGGGTGCGCCGCTGTTAACTAGTGGGAGCCGAGATGCTGGTGCGCCTGCTATCGTATAGCCTATAAACCCCACACTCTAGGTCCAAAAGCCATTGCCCTGTGCACTGGCCTGGAAAGCTTGCGCAATCTGCGGCTGCAGCGGGTCCCCTTGCAGAGAGCCTTCAGACATCTCCTGCAGCAGGCCAAGCAAGCTTCACTCTTTTGGCATCAATGCTCGCTGCTGTGGGACCCATCCACGGATTCCCCTTCGCACCAGAAAATGGATACTTATGCAAGATAGGGTTGTTCGTATGTGTGGTTTGAGGTGTAAGGCCCGTTGCATGCTGAGCAAGGAAGCAGGGTTTAGATTTTGGGTGTGTAGAAAGCCTCATCGACTCATCGACCGATGCAATGCAGGGGAACATGATCTCCGACATTTCATAAGCCCTACCCGTCCTGACTAAACCCTCAGAAGCCCTTAGCCCTAAACCCTCAGAACACCCTAAACCCTCAACAAACCCTGAACCCTAAACCCTCCGAAGCCCTATTTTGCAAGCCACATATTCCCAGAAACCCCCTTAGTCGTAAGCTCTAAGGGCTGCCACATGGTCCCTTAGCATGGGTCCTTCAAAGGGGGCCCCTTATGTACCCATCATATACCCTATACAAAGTTTGGGCCCATACGTCAGAACCCGTTAAATTAAAGGAGGTTGGGGACCATATTAAGGGTCCATATGGGGGTTTTTGCGAAAAGAAGGTACCCCTAATAGAAGCCCAAATAGTAGGATTCCCGTTTCGTAAGGACCCTAACAAGGTACCCCTCTTTTTCGTAAACCCCCATAGAACTCCCCTTAGATTCCCAGAAACCCTCTAAACCCTAAACCCTAAACCCTCAAAACCCTAAACCCTAAACCCTTAACCCCAAGCGGTCCTCCTCGAGCTTCTCGGGTACAGCTGGCGAAGCGCTGCCGCCCTTGCACGAGGAGTACTGGGGGCGTTCTCTAAGTTTTTTTTTTTTTTTTTTTTTTTTTTTTTTTTTCTGGGGTCCGCGTTACAGGGTTTAGGGTTAGGCAGGGTTTGGGGTTTAGGGCTTAGGGTTTAGGGTTTAGGGCTTAGGGTTTAGGGTGTAGGGGTTTCATGCTTGGGGTTAAGGCCTTGTGGGGTCTAGTGTTCCATAGGCCCTCAGAAGTGACATTAATTTAGTGAACTGCTCGCTGGCAGTTCACCTCGACGTGGGGAAGCTAAGTGGTGTTCGAGGTAACTCCTGTGGTGAATGGAATCTACCAGCAGTACTTGCAACAGCAACAAAAACCCGCAGTAAACGTAATAAAAATATTAACAGTAATTACAAGAACAACAGTGACAGTAGTAGCAGTCGTGGCAGTAGTAGCAATACCTAACAACAACGCTAAGGTTGGGGTGCAGCATTTGGAGCTTGCCGAGGGAGAGCTCGTGGCTGTCTCCTCTTACATCCAGAGAGATCAGTACCTCCAAGTATGGACCTAAGCCTTAAACCCTGGGCCCTAAACCCTGAGGCCTCATAAGGGACTCATAGGGATCCCTCTCGAGCTTAAGCTACATTCCTTCACTAAGGGGCCCTGGGGGCCCTGTCGGTACCTCCCTGTCTCTGAGGCCATCCCTGATTCTCTCTCGTGTAAGTTGTCTCTGAGTCCATGAGCTGTTTAGGGTTTAGGGTGTAGGGTTCAGGGTTCAGGGTGGGTTCTGAACCCTACAACTTCGTTTTCTTCACGTTGCCTCGGATTGCGAGTGGTCTGAGACCTGATCCTCGGCCACCGCCGCCCCCTGCTGGAGGGTTTATATGGGGAGCGCTCTAAATTATGGTCTTTGGGGTCAGCAACCCCAATAGAGACCACAACAGCATCTTTCAAACCCAGGGTTGGCCTCACAATCCCACCAAAAACCCCTCAGAAGAAGTCGGGGCGGCGGAGTCTGGGATGTAGGGTTGCTGCGCTTGTGCATCGCGGAAGGGAGTGTTGAGGGATCAAGGAAGCCACTACGCCTAAACCCTAAACCCTAAACCCTAAACCCTAAACCCTAAACCCTAAAACCTAAACCCTAAACCCTAAACCCTAAACCCTAAACCCTAAACCCTAAACCCTAAACCCTCATGTTGGGCTCAGAGGGCTTCAAGGCCAAGCCTCCTCCGCCAAGGGACCCCCTTACAATTTGCAGGCCGTAAGGCCCTTATCCACCGACCCCCTCCCTCGGTTAGGGACTTAGGGTTTAGGGTTTAGGATTTAGGGTCTAGGTTCTAGGGTACACATACTTCGGACCCTAAACCACCCTAGATCGCCTAAACCGCCTAAACCCTGAGACCCAACAAGTGCCAAAAACAAATCCTTCCGCCTGACACCTCCGAAGAACCTTAAGGCAAAAACGCCCCATAGCCAGGAACTCCCCAAGTTCGGAGTTTCGGCTTTGGACTGTCAGTTCTCTAGGGCTTCGGGTGTGTGTGCAGTGTTTAGGTGAGACAGAAAGCCCCGCCCCGCTCCTCCTCTAACTAAACCGAAAAAACAACTTAACGGCACAAGCCTGCAAGCACACAGCCCTAAAATAGGTTTTGTTTGGTGTGGGGTTTGGAGTTTAGGGTTTTGGGGCTTCAGAAAAAACCACAAGAAAAAAGGGGAACATCGTTTTCCAACTACGAAGCATGGGGAAAAGAAGAAAGCCCCGGAAACCTTGATCCCAAATGACCCCCAAAAAATCCCTCTCCAGCACGCCAAACGCCAAGGACCCCTGGCCCACCCTCAAACCCAAACAGCCCTCTAAAAATAAGGTTTAGGGTTTAGGGTTTAGGGTTTAGGGTTTAGGTTTAGGGTTTAGGGTTTAGGGTTTAGGGTTTAGGGTTTAGGGTTTAGGGTTTAGGGTTTAGGGTTTAGGGTTTAGGGTTTAGGGTTTAGGGTTTAGGGTTTAGGGTTTAGCGTTTAGGGTTTAGGGTTTAGGGTTTAATGTGAGAGTGGCTTTTTTAATTGGGGTGGCAATAGTAATATTCGCCAGGCCAGAGGGCCCCAGCCGAAGACTACTTTCCATTACGGGAGGTTTTCGGGCCGATGTATGTAAACAAGTCTATATAGGGGGGTCCGGTGATAATAAGAATGGGGTGGCAATTGTAAAATTTCTCTGGCCAGGAATTGAAAATTTTACTGAAAATGGCTTAAGAGTTCCATTGCAGAGAAGACTTTTCAGCTGAGCTGGCTTGAAAGAGCTCCAAGGCTCAGTCTTTAGAGAAGCAGATCTCGTTTGAGATTGCTTGTCTTCTGAGATTGCTGCAGCAAAGGAGCTGCAGAGAGCAAGCAGAAGCCTTCAAGACAAAGCAAAGCAGACCCTGACAGCTGACCCCCCCCAGACCCCCAGACCCCAGACCCCCAGAATCCTCATAATTGACACCCCCTCTTTTTTTCCACCCCTCCAAACCCCGGGGACCAAAACAAGATTTGGGGGGGGTTTATTAATGCGACTCTAACATTAGGGTTTAGGGTTTAGGGCTAAACCCAAAGTAACCCTTAAACTCTAATTACAACCCCCAATAGCCCCTTTGACTTAACCCTGCCAACGCAAACCCGAAACCCAAACCCGAAACCCTCAACCCCAAACCCTGCGTTAACCCTAAACCCGCCCCAAACCCCAAACCCGACCCGAAACCCTAAAACTCTACAAAAACCCTAAGCCCCGCAACCCCCCCCCCCCCCCCCCCAAACCCCGAACCCCAACCCCAAACCCCGACCCTAAACCCCAAATCCTAAAGCCTTGAAACCCGAAAAAACTCAAAACCCTAAACCCTAAACCCGACGTAAACCCTAAGCCTAAACCCCCCCCCCCCTCCCCGCCAAAAAAAACAACACGCGACTAAGCCTGAAACCCCCCACCCCCCCCCCCCAAAAAAAAAAAAAAAAACATACATAATAATTAATAATAATATAATAATAATAATAATAATAATAATAATAAAATAATAATATAATATAATAATAATAATAATAATAATAAATAATAATAAAATACAACACTCGACCAAGCCTTAACCCCACCCCCCCCCCCCCCCAAAAAAAAAAAAAAAAAAAACGAAAAAAGACACAAACAACCCTCGAGCTTTTGGGGGCTCCTCCTGCAGAGGCGCGCTCTTCAGCCGGACCGGCGTCGGTGCCTCGGGGGATCCCTCCTGGAATCGAACTGCGGGGAGTTTTGTCTGAGGGTTTAGGGTTTAGGGTTTAGGGTTTAGGGTTGAGAGTCTAGGGTTAAGGGCTTGGGGTTTAGGGTTGTGAGTTTAGGGTTTGGGAGTTTAAGCTTTGGGGGGTTTAGGGTAGTTCCATGGTCCCTGTACTAATATCGGCCCCTTATTGGGGATTCCGTATATACCCCTCGTATATCCTGCAAAACCCAAGGGCCCATACTTCAGAACCCTCCGAAGAAGGTCCATGCAACTTCCCCAAACCCTAGTATTTACTTGGCTTCAATAACCCCCGCAATTAGAAAAAGAAAACGTCGCGAAACTCAATTGCAAAACCCCCCGCCCCGCAAGAGACGTCCAAACTGATCTATGCGTAAGAAGAGGGATTCCGAAAGAGGTTCGCTCACAGCATGCAGGGCTGCACAGACCCGGAAGAGGCCCAGAAGAGGCCCAGAAGAGGCCTAGAAGAGGGCATGAGAGCCCCTGAACAGGCCAGCCCTGTGAAAAACAAGCTCTCCCAAACAAGACTACAGCCCCTTCAACACCCAAGCCCTCTGCAATTAGATTTTTCGGCCCCTTGCCGGAGAGATTGAATCGATCAGGGGGGGGGGGGGTTATGAAAGGGAAGTGCATGTAAAATTTCCGAACTCGATTGAAACAGCCTCAACGCGCAAGACCTCGTCCGCATGCACCGGTGCAGAAGCACTTCTGACGGCGCTGCCCTGCCCAGGCACGCTTGATATGCACTTGGTGCCAGACTTGAACATGAGCTCATGGGGTTCGAATGGGCTTGTCGGGCTTACGAGGCTTGGAAAGCTCAACAGGAGGTTGACGAAGTCACGAGGGTAACAGCTTCGAATCAGAGCTTGCGAAACCCACACTTTTTTGTGTTCCACAGAAGCCTCGCCCGCAACTTTCGCGCGCTTGGACCCTTGGGCCCTTAGGCCCTTAGGCCCTTCGGCCCTTCGGCCCTTAGGCCCTTAGGCCCTTAGGCCCCTTAGGCCCTTAGGCCCCTTAGGCCCTTTAGGCCCTTTAGCCCTTTAGCCCCTTTGGACCCTAAACCCTAAAGCCTAAAGCCTAAACCCTAAACCCTATAACCTATAACCCTAAACCCTAAACCCTAACAACCGGCACTTTGAGCCCTCGCCTGGGGTGCATCTTTGGTGGTGCTCGTCGGCGCCGGTCCTCGGAAGTGCCCGGCGGTGCTGGTCGTCGGAGGTTTAGGGTTTAGGGTTTAGGGTTTAGGGTTTAGGGTTTAGGGTTTAGGGTGTAGGGTTTAGGGTTTAGGATTTAGGGTTTATTCGGGTTTAGGGAAGTATGTTTGGGGAGTTAGGTTTCAGAGAGCCTGTTGGAAAAGGGCTCCCGTTCCAGAAGCTGGCGTGCTTCGAGCAACTTCAGTTTAGGGCTGAGGGCTGAGGGCTGAGGGCTGAGGGCTGAGGGCTGAGGGCTGAGGGCTGAGGGCTGAGGGCTGAGGGCTGAGGGCTGAGGGCTGAGGGCTGAGGGCTGAGGGCTGAGGGCGTAGGGCGTAGGGCGTAGGGCGTAGGGCTTAGGGCTTAGGGCTTAGGGCTTAGGGCTTAGGGCTTAGGGCTATAGGGCTTAGGGCTTAGGGCTTAGGGCTTAGGGCATAGGGCTTAGGGTTTAGGGTTCAGGGTTCAGGGTTCAGGGAGTTAGGTTTCAGAGTTTAGGGTAGGGGTCAGGGCTTAGGGCTTAGGGTTTAGGCTGCTGGGAGGGTGACCACCCACCCACCCAGAGATGACGAGAACTTACTTTGCAGTTTGCTCGACCGAAGGGCTTTCAACGGCTTTTCGGCAGCCGCGTGCGTATGATCATTGAGCCTTCAATATTACTGCTGCAGCCTTCAACCCTGCCGATAATTAAGGCCAATCCCGATGGGATTGGCCTTACACACCTCCCAGGGGTGCTGCTGTTGCGCGCAGCGCAGCCCCAGAATAACGAGCCCAAAAACACTTTTCGATTTCAGGGCCTCCGCGCTCGTGTCGGGGCTTAGCTTGCTTGAGGTTCAGGATGTTCCGGCTTCTTGGGGTTGCTTATCAGGAACCCTGCTAAGGAAGATGCCTAGAAGCGGCATTTAACAACCAACGTGATGATCGCTGATCGTCAAATCGCTCCCCTCTTCTCCCCTAAACCCTAAAACGTACAAATACAAATCCTGAGACATCCTATTGCGCAGGATGCACTTAGAGAACCATGTTCCCAGCAAATCCTCTGGCAAAAAAATTGCGAGCCCGAAATCTAGACCTAAACCCAAAACCCAAAACTTCCCCTAAACCCTGAACCTCCTGCACGCTAAGGGGGCCGCCCTCTTCCGCAAAAGAAAGCATCTTGAATGGTGCTGTGGAGATCTTGCGCAGGAAGCTGTAGACCTCTACCCACCAGCTACTTCTGGGGCGGTGGGGGGGGGGCGGGGGGGGGGTGGGGGCGGGGGGGGGGGGTGGGGGCGGGGGGGGGGGGTGGGGGGGGGGGGGGGCGGGGGGGGGCGGGGGGGGGGGGGGGGGAGGGGGGCGGTGGAGGGGGAGGGGGGGGGGGGGGGGGGGGGGGGTCAGGTTTAAGTTTAGGGCTCTAAGGTTTAAGATTTCAGGTTTAGGGTGTTCAGGTGTTTGGGTTCAGGATTCAAGGCTTTCGGGTTTGGGCCCCCGGGGGGTGTTGGGATTCAGATGAGGAGTCTGTGAGTCCACATTGGTCTGCAAGAAGGCGGATGACGCGCTGTACTTCGAATCCTATATAAGTCTTATAAACCCTATAAACCCAAGAAACCCTAGAAACCTTATAGAAAGCCTAAAGAAACCCTATAGAAACCCTAGAAACCCTAGAAACCCTATAGAAACCCCAAACCTTCAGCGAAAAAGCGCCAAGTGCCCCGCAACGCCAGTCGGCGGATCCACGACCAGCGTCGGGCAAAGGAGGAGCTTCGTAGTGCCAGCGTCCAGCCTTTAGGGTTTAGTTTTACTCTAGGGTAACCCTGCATATGGGTTATATTGGGGTCCTTCTTATAAGGAATCCTACTCTTTGGGGACTACTTTAGGGGCCCCTCATTTTCGGAAACACCCATATACAATCAACTCTCAAAAAACAGAGACCTGCCTTCAGTTTTTCCGAACATTTTGCCTGTTCAGGTACAAGCATACTCTAATTACGTGTAGGGTTCAACCACTGGGTCCTAAACCCTAAACCCTAAACCCTAAAGCCTAAAGCCTAAACCCTAAACCCTAAACCCTAAACCCTGGACGTCACATCGGCTCAGGCTGAAACGGTGGCGACGCCCTCTCCAGCAGCCCGAATACTGCGAACTGGACCTTGGCTGCCACCGGGTTTAGGGTTTAGGGTTTAGGGTTTAGGGTTTAGGGTTTAGGGTGTAGGGTTTAGGGTTTAGGGTTTAGGGTTTAGGGAGGGCGAGCCGGGCCAAGTGACAACTTGTGATGCTGAACTTGGTAGCCCAGTAACCATCTTATAATAAGCTAATCCTAAACCCTAAACCCTAAACCCTAAACCCTTGTTATGCTGATCTTGGTAGCTGGCCGTGAGGTAGACGAGAAGGTGGAGCTGCCTCGTCGACCTCAGCTGCCAACGGCCAGTGGATCTGACGAAACGCCTGCAAAAGTAGACTGTACCTGCAAAGATTCGATTGTGGGTTTAGGGTTTGGAGTTTAAGGTTTAGGGTTTAGGGTTTAGGGTTCAAGGATGTTCAGGGATGCGCTGGAAGATCGGCGAGCAGCGGTCAAATTCGGGTTTTAACCCGTCCGAGGGGCCCTTGAATTCCGACAAGAAAAGGCGAGGGGATCGTAAGGCACACGCAACTGCAAAAAACAAGACGTTCTGCCAAAACCCTTTCTTCCGAAGTGTCTGGCCTGACCGACCCACTCAGGCAGACTTGCCCCCGCACCACACTGCAGACACAAACTGCGGATCATCAGGAATTCTACTTCGGCTGCCAATCTTCTGCAGGCACGCTGCCATACGATGCCCGTGCTCGCTCGTGATGTGCTCTACTGTGGCGCGTGTATGACTCGAACACCTCCCAAATCCGACGGCGTCTGACCGGCGGGGCTCTCACAAACCTGGTGAGGGGATCTTAAGGCACACGCAAATGCAAAACAAGACGTTCTGCCAAAACCCTTTCTTCCGAAGTGTCTGGCCTGACCGACCCACTCAGGCAGACTTGCCCCCGCACCACAGTGCAGACACAAGCTGCGGATCAACAGGAATTCTGCTCCGGCTGCCAATCTTCTGCAGGCACGCTACCATACGATGCCCGTGCTCGCTCGAGATGTGCTCTACTGTGGCGCGTGTATGACTCGAACACCTCCCAAATCCGACGGCGTCTGACCGGCGGGGCTCTCACGAACCTGGTGAGGGGATCTTAAGGCACACGCAACTGCAAAACAAGACGTTCTGCCAAAACCCTTTCTTCCGAAGTGTCTGGCCTGACCGACCCACTCAGGCAGACTTGCCCCCGCACCACAGTGCAGACACAAGCTGCGGATCATCAGGAATTCTGCTTCGGCTGCCAATCTTCTGCAGGTACGCTACCATACGATGCCTGTGCTCGCTCGTGATGTGCTCTACTGTGGCGCGTGTATGACTCGAACACCTCCCAAATCCGACGGCGTCTGACCGGCGGGGCTCTCACGAACCTGGTGAGGGGATCTTAAGGCACACGCAACTGCAAAACAAGACGTTCTGCCAAAACCCCTTTCTTCCGAAGTGTCTGGCCTGACCGACCCACTCAGGCAGACTTGCCCCCGCACCACAGTGCAGACCCAAGCTGCGGATCAACAGGAATTCTGCTTCGGCTGCCAATCTTCTGCAGGCACGCTACCATACGATGCCCGTGCTCGCTCGAGATGTGCTCTACTGTGGCGCGTGTATGACTCGAACACCTCCCAAATCCGACGGCGTCTGACCGGCGGGGTTCTCACGAACCTGGTGAGGGGATCTTAAGGCACACGCAACTGCAAAACAAGACGTTCTGCCAAAACCCTTTCTTCCGAAGTGTCTGGCCTGACAGACCCACTCAGGCAGACTTGCCCCCGCACCACACTGCAGACACAAACTGCGGATCATCAGGAATTCTACTTCGGCTGCCAATCTTCTGCAGGCACGCTGCCATACGATGCCCGTGCTCGCTCGTGATGTGCTCTACTGTGGCGCGTGTATGACTCGAACACCTCCCAAATCCGACGGCGTCTGACCGGCGGGGTTCTCACGAACCTGGTGAGGGGATCTTAAGGCACACGCAACTGCAAAACAAGACGTTCTGCCAAAACCCTGTCTTCCGAAGTGTCTGGCCTGACCGACCCACTCAGGCAAACTTGCCCCCGAACCACAGTGCAGACACAAGCTGCGGATCATCAGGAATTCTGCTTCGGCTGCCAATCTTCTGCAGGCACGCTGCCATACGATGCCCGTGCTCGCTCGTGATGTGCTCTACTGTGGCGCGTGTATGACTCGAACACCTCCCAAATCCGACGGCGTCTGACCGGCGGGGTTCTCACGAACCTGGTGAGGGGATCTTAAGGCACACGCAACTGCAAAACAAGACGTTCTGCCAAAACCCTTTCTTCCGAAGTGTCTGGCCTGACCGACCCACTCAGGCAGACTTGCCCCCGCACCACAGTGCAGACACAAGCTGCGGATCATCAGGAATTCTGCTTCGGCTGCCAATCTTCTGCAGGTACGCTGCCATATGATGCCCGTGCTCGCTCGTGATGTGCTCTACTGTGGCGCGTGTATGACTCGAACACCTCCCAAATCCGACGGCGTCTGACCGGCGGGGCTCTCACGAACCTGGTGAGGGGATCTTAAGGCACACGCAACTGCAAAACAAGACGTTCTGCCAAAACCCTTTCTTCCGAAGTGTCTGGCCTGACCGACCCACTCAGGCAGACTTGCCCCCGCACCACAGTGCAGACACAAGCTGCGGATCATCAGGAATTCTGCTTCGGCTGCCAATCTTCTGCAAGCACGCTGCCATACGATGCCCGTGCTCGCTCGTGATGTGCTCTACTGTGGCGCGTGTATGACTCGAACACCTCCCAAATCCGACGGCATCTGACCGGCGGGGTTCTCATGAACCTGGTGAGGGGATCTTAAGGCACACGCAACTGCAAAACAAGACGTTCTGCCAAAACCCTTTCTTCCGAAGTGTCTGGCCTGACCGACCCACTCAGGCAGACTTGCCCCCGCACCACAGTGCAGACACAAGCTGCGGATCATCAGGAATTCTGCTTCGGCTGCCAATCTTCTGCAGGTACGCTGCCATATGATGCCCGTGCTCGCTCGTGATGTGCTCTACTGTGGCGCGTGTATGACTCGAACACCTCCCAAATCCGACGGCGTCTGACCGGCGGGGCTCTCACGAACCTGGTGAGGGGATCTTAAGGCACACGCAACTGCAAAACAAGACGTTCTGCCAAAACCCTTTCTTCCGAAGTGTCTGGCCTGACCGACCCACTCAGGCAGACTTGCCCCCGCACCACAGTGCAGACACAAGCTGCGGATCATCAGGAATTCTGCTTCGGCTGCCAATCTTCTGCAGGTACGCTGCCATATGATGCCCGTGCTCGCTCGTGATGTGCTCTACTGTGGCGCGTGTATGACTCGAACACCTCCCAAATCCGACGGCGTCTGACCGGCGGGGCTCTCACGAACCTGGTGAGGGGATCTTAAGGCACACGCAACTGCAAAACAAGACGTTCTGCCAAAACCCTTTCTTCCGAAGTGTCTGGCCTGACCGACCCACTCAGGCAGACTTGCCCCCGCACCACAGTGCAGACACAAGCTGCGGATCATCAGGAATTCTGCTTCGGCGGCGCTTGGCATGCAGCATGCTGTTACTACTCTGTGTAATTACCCCGCAGCTGGCTAATCATCTTCCAAATTCTGAGCCCCGCCCGTGCGATGCTTGCTCGTGACGTGCTGTGGCGCGCGCAAGAATCATTCAGCAACGGCGGAAGAAACATTCTCATCATTCATTGTTGAGCCAACTGCAATCCATGCCCACTTGACGTCAGTCTCCAACATCCATGTCACTCAACACATCAGTGTAACTATGACGTACTGTCTCGTCACCGCAAGTTGTCTCAGCAACGACGGAAGAAACATTCTCATCATTCAATGTTGAGCCAACTGAAATCCATGCCCACTTGACGTCAGTCTCCAACATCCATGTCACTCAACGCATCAGTGTAACTATGACGTACTGTCTCGTCACTGCAAGTTGTCTCAGCAACGGCGGAAGAAACATTCTCATCATTCAATGTTGAGCCAACTGAAATCCATGCCCACTAGACGTCAGTCTCCAACATGCATGTCACGCAACACATCAGTGTAACTATGACGTACTGTCTCGTCACCGCAAGTTGTCTCAGCAACGGCGGAAGAAACATTCTCATCATTCAATGTTGAGCCAACTGAAAACCATACCCACTTGACGTCAGTCTCCAACATCCATGTCACTCAACGAATCAGTGTAACTATGACGTACTGTCTCGTCACTGCAAGTTGTCTCAGCAACGGCGGAAGAAACATTCTCATCATTCAATGTTGAGCCAACTGCAATCCATGCCCACTAGACGTCAGTCTCCAACATGCATGTCACGCAACACATCAGTGTAACTATGACGTACTGTCTCGTCACCGCAAGTTGTCTCAGCAACGGCGGAAGAAACATTCTCATCATTCAATGTTGAGCCAACTGAAATCCATGCCCACTTGACGTCAGTCTCCAACATCCATGTCACTCAACGCATCAGTGTAACTATGACGTACTGTCTCGTCACTGCAAGTTGTCTCAGCAACGGCGGAAGAAACATTCTCATCATTCAATGTTGAGCTAACTGCAATCCATGCCCACTTGACGTCAGTCTCCAACATCCATGTCACTCAACGCATCAGTGTAACTATGACGTACTGTCTCGTCACCGCAAGTTGTCTCAGCAACGGCGGAAGAAACATTCTCATCATTCAATGTTGAGCCAACTGAAATCCATGCCCACTAGACGTCAGTCTCCAACAGCCATGTCACTCAACGCATCAGTGTAACTATGACGTACTGTCTCGTCACTGCAAGTTGTCTCAGCAACGGCGGAAGAAACATTCTCATCATTCAATGTTGAGCCAACTGCAATCCATGCCCGCTAGACGTCAGTCTCCAACATGCATGTCACGCAACACATCAGTGTAACTATGACGTACTGTCTCGTCATCGCAAGTTGTCTCAGCAACGGCGGAAGAAACATTCTCATCATTCAATGTTGAGCCAAGTGCAATCCATGCCCACTTGACGTCAGTCTCCAACATGCATGTCACGCGACACATCAGTGTAACTATGACGTACTGTCTCGTCACCGCAAGTTGTCTCAGCAACGGCGGAAGAAACATTCTCATCATTCAATGTTGAGCCAAGTGCAATCCATGCCCACTTGACGTCAGTCTCCAACATCCTTGTAACTATGACGTACTGTCTCGTCACCGCAAGTTGTCTCAGCAACGGCGGAAGAAACAGTCTCATCATTCATTGTTGATGCAAGCGCAATCCATGCCCTCTTGACTTTA